TCATCCATAAACATCTGCCCTAAAAGCCCCATCTTTAAACATCTATCCGCCGCCACCACTACCAGCGAGAGAAGCATCCAACAAGTGCCAACGGAAGAAGAGGACGACACTCAAAGGTGACCGGGGATGAGCAAAAGGACCGAACCGGACTGGAACCGGGAACCGGCTTCGGCCAAAATCAAGAACCGAACCGGCCCGGCTGTTCTACCGGTTCCTACCGGTTCTTGTCGTGTCTTCAAATGTTGGAACCGGTCCTTGAAAAATAGCATCATACGGTTTCGGTTTTGGCCGGTTCTACCGGTTTTTTCCAGTTCTACCAGTTCCGGTTCCTACCGGTTCCCGGTTCTAAAAATCCACAAAAATAGTGTCCCGATCCCGGCCCGACCAGTTCTAGCGGGTTCCGGTTCCGGTACCGGTACCGGTTCCGGCCGGTTCCCCGGTCCATATGCTCATCCCTAAAGGTGATCACCTGCTGTGGGAAATGACGACGTTAGTGATAAGTAGAACAACATCGATTAACCAATGTTTTTCATGAATCGATTTCATGTGAGAATTGATTGGTTCCTGAAAATCGATTGGTTTGAATATAGGAGGGAAATGCTTTCGATTCATTGCTGATTTTGAGATTTAGAAGTTTGTAAAGAGAGGCGATTTGAGAATCGAGATCGTCGGGATTTCTTCGAGCAATGATGAAGTCGTTTTGGCATCAAAATCTTCCTGCGCTAACCTCCTGTCACCCCCAATATAAAAACCCTAGACACACACAGGTAGAGTGCCAATCTCTACAAATTTGGTCTCCGATTTGGCTCTCTCATCCCCGATTTCGTTCAAGGTACCTCTAATTTGGTCGACTGGTGTCAAGTGGTGGAGGTTATTAAAGACTTAAGAGTTGACACAAATAAAGAAGAAGGTGACTGTTGCGATTTACTGGTGGTTTGTGTAAGGGTTGGCATCGTAGCAGGTGACGGTGGGAACAGGTGAAGTGAGGTCCAATTTACCTGAAGAACCTTCTTCATCTTACCAACAGGATGGTGGCTTCAGACCGGAAAGGGTGGGTGTTTGAGACGGTGAAGGAGGGCGGATTGAGGTCTCATTAATGGTGGGTTTTGTGGTAGGCAGCAAAGTAGCGGTGGTGATGGACTGTGGTGATGGCTCTGCGGCCATTTTTCTCCAGCGACACAAAAGAAACATAGAGAAAACGATTGAAATGTTTATTGAAAATCTTACGCCTCATGATACTAAGTTAATGCCTTCAACTCTTCATATGTAGAAATTGAATATTGAGGGGTAAAATCGATGTCTGATAATGGATTTTGGGCTAGAAACTATACTCTTCTTGTTCGTGATGGAGAGAGAGAAAGAGAGAGAGTATTTTTTTTTCTTTTATTTTTAAATCTTTTTAATTGTTGTAATAAAAGAAAATTATAATATTAAATAATCAGGAGGAAAATTGTCTTTATGAAAAAATTCAAATAAAATCGGACCAAACTCACAACAAAATGAAAAGTTTGGACCTCTGGTGCTTTTTTGGACCAAAGTGGCAATTTTCAGCTAACCACAAGGACCATTCATGCAGTTTTGTCTATTGAAAAAGATGAATGGTTTGCGAACACAAATAACCAAAAACGTGAGTGACTATTACGAATGTTTAGACAAAAGTTCTTTTAACACGATATATGATTGATTTCTAACGTGAGTACACACCTATAACAAAAAATTTAACTCGTGAGTACACACCTATAACAAAAAATTTAATAGTTTATTGTTAGACTAAAGGGAGTGGCTCGCCAACTCCCACGCCATGAAACTCGCCACCACTCCTTTCAAGGTGTTAAGCTTCTCGCTACTTCCATGCTTGCTAGGAGCTTGATGAAAGGAAAGAGAAAAATCAAAAGAGAAGAAGGGCTATCATTGGCCTCTTTTTTTGTTTTTTGTTTTTTGTTTTTTTTTTTGAAATAAATCAAGCCTTTTGATTGGTTCTTTTTTGGTTTTTTTTTTCTTTTAAAATCCAGGTGTATATGTGTTTAAAATATAAGTTTATGTGAGGTAAAATTATGATGTGGCAATGTATTTAGCATGTACTAAACATGCTACCACTCCTCATAGCCTTAATGCCATTGCTATTTAAATTAATATTCATGGCCATGGAAAACAAACGAAGTGTAGGGAAAACGTTTCACAAAAAAGGCCGTAAGGACTACGAATATTATAAATATATAAAATTGTTTTCATTTGATGCGACTATAGATGAGATCTGTTTTGAAATCGGACCAAACCAAATCGGAATCGAATAAACGAAATGCAGATTTGGGTATTGACAAACCGAAAACCGAACCGATAAGTAGTGTATGTTCCGATTTCGTTCTGGTTTTGCAGTTACATAACCGCAAAGAACCGATTTTAAAAGTACATTGACTTTTTCCGATAATTATCTTATATTATAGTCACAATATTCGACCATATATGTTTAGGTATTACATAGTGAGAAGTTAGTTATTACATATGGACTCATAAATATGTAAAACTAGGGGGTGAACCCAAGCTCCATGTGGGCAGCCGAAAAGAAACAATTTAAAAAAGGAAATTTTATTTACTATCTTTTTAGACATAAGAGCAGTATGGTTATCTACACAAATTTTGAGTGATATGGGTGCTTTCTATTTGACAAACAAATGCCAGCTTCAACAACATTCAAAGCAAACTTCTTCATATTGTATCTAGATTGAATCTGAAACAATATACACACAACCAATAAGATGATAATCAAAATGTTTTCAATTATCCAACTTCATGTAAACCTTAAAACCCTAAATAAGCAAAAAAGAAATAAATGTTACCTCTTATGCTCATTTGGAGTCTATCAGATTTCTTTGGGGTTGGATGAACACGAATAATTGCATACATCTTTTTGTAAACCTCTTCAATATTGTCTGATTATGTATTTAGAAAAATGTGTCTTTTGTTCATCTTCTATCAAAGCATGCATTCAATCAAACAAACATAAAATAATTCACCGCATTTCATTTCATTTCTCTTCAATATCATTATAAACTTCAACATCATGTAAGCAGCAATATGTCCCCCATAAATGTACTTGCAAGTTGCTTCCTAAGTTGCACGGAAATGAATATGGCAACGGAAATGGGAAACAACAAAACTCAAAAATTCAAGATACCAATACGGATATATATATATATATATATATATATATATATATATATATATATATATATATATATATATAAGGAATTCCAAAATAGATATATATTGATGTAAGGTGTAAACTCCAAAAATACTAAATTTTTCAAAGGTAATTGATTATCAATAATTAAATCATTTTCAAAATCTAGTTTATCTAATGAGAGACCGACAACCTCCAAAAATCCTACATCTTCCATTGAATCAAAAACATCTCCACCCACATCCCATATCCTTAAATCATCATTCGGATTCTTTGACAAAAGTCGGAGAATATTGTGGATGTAAACCAAGTCTTGAGCACGACTTGTAGTCAACTTGTTCCTTTTAAGCGAGTGAATAAATGCATAAGTACTCCAATTACGCTCAACACAAGAAGAAGAACTAGGTTGTCCAACTAATCTAAAAATCAAAGTCTGGAGAAAAGGAGTTTGAGCACCAAAATTAACCCATCAATTCTTGGGTTCCGTAGTAGCCATCTCTGAAATGTTTGTTAAATCCTCAAAATGACCACTCTTCATTGAAAACATTGCATATTCATCAAGGACTCTACTATGCTCATTATCATTAGGAAACAACCTTCGAAAACATTTCATCATTTCTTGTGAAATTTCTCCATCCTAATGTGGAGCACATCTTGTAGAATCCTCAAGTAATAGAAATCAAGTGTATAATTTAAAATCATATACATGTGATTTAAAGAGTGGGCTAAAAATGTAGAGAAGTGTTATTCTCCGCCCATCAAACCACTAAAATACGATGCACAACATAATAAAAGCAACTTATTTGAAATGCCAGAGGTTTTTCTTTCTTGTAGATCTCAATCTTCATTTGCTCAATCATCGAATCCCACATCTCGTACACCAAGTGTAAACATGGATTTTCGGTGTCATAAACTCTAATCATCTTATATATATATATATATATATATATATATATATATATATATATATATATATATAAGTCCAGTGAGACTAAGAATATATATGCTACTTTGTCCCACCATTGATCATTTAAAATATATTCTTTCACAAAGTTTGTTATTTCAATGTCATGTAATCTATAAGAAGACCATTCTTCTCTTATGACCATAACTTGAAAACCCCTTTTGATAAGTTTTAATCTCTTGAACATCACAATGATGGAGGCAAACGAGTGTCGACAACTGAAAGCAGTCTAAGAGGACTATAGTTAGGTGAAAATCGAAAGTCTTATGTTAGAGTTCATGATGAAATTTTTTATTACAAGCGCATCATCGTGAACTTTTATCCAGGTGTATTGTTCATATGTTAGTTCATTTATTTCCATATTCCTTAGTGAACAAATATTCTTCAAAGCAAAAGTAAGCATATGAACAACACACGGTGTCCGATAGATGTGAGGAAACTGACTCTCTATATTCTCTCTAGCAGCCTTACAATTTGTTGCATTGTCGGTAATGATTTGCACAACATTTTGATGACCAATTTCATTGATAACTTCTTTCATCAATTCAGCAATATAAAATCTATCTTTTACTTCCCCAATGAAATTGGTCATCAATGAATTGTTTTGGGGAAGTAAAATAGATTTTATATTGTTGAATTGATGAAAGAAATCATCAATGAAATTGGTCATCAAAATGTTGTGCAAATCATTACTGACAATGCAACAAATTGTAAGGTGGCTAGAGAGATTATAGAGAGTTAGTTTCCTCGGGTCTATTAGACATCATGTGTTATCCATACGCTTAATCTTGCTTTGAAGAACATTTATTCACCAAGGAATATGGAAACAAATGAACTAACATATGAACAATGCACCTGGACAAAAAAAGCTCACGAATATGCGCTTGCAATAAAATATTTTATCATGAACCATAACATGAGACTCTTGATTTCACAAAATTTACTCCTCTTAGACTGCTTTCAGTTGTCGACACTCGCTTTGCTCCATCATTGTGATGCTCAACAGATTGAAACTTATCAAAAGGGGTTTTTAAGCTATGGTCATAAACAAAGAATGGTCTTCTTATAGATTAGATGACACTTAAAAAGCAAACTTTGTAAAAGAATATATATTTTGAATGATGAATGGTAGGATAAAGTAACATATATTCTTGGTTTCACTGGACCTATATATGAGATGATTAGAGTTTGTGACACCGACAAGCCATGTTTACATTTGGTGTATGAGATGTCGGATTCGATGATTGAGAAAGTGAAAATTGAGATCTACAAGAAAGAAAAACATTCAGCATCTCAAATAAGTTGTTATGATGTTGTGCATCGTATTTTAGTGGCTCAATGGGCGAAGAATAACACTCCCCTACATTGTTTAACTCCCTCTTTAAATCAAAGGTATATGATTTTAAATTATACATTTGATTTCTATTATATACTTATGTTTTAACTTTTGAATGTTGTAGATATTATAATGGCGCATGGTTACTTGAGGATTCTACAATATATGCTCCACATAGGGATGGAGAAATTTCACAAGAAATGATGAAATATTTTCGAAGGTTGCTTCCTAATGATGATGAGCATAGTAGAGTCCTTGATGAATATGCAATGTTTTCAATGAAGAGTGGTCATTTCGAGGATTTAACAAGCATTTCAGAAATGGCTATTATGAAACCCAAGAATTGGTGGGTTAACTTTGGTGCTCAAACTCCTTTTCTCCAAACTTTGGCTTTCAGATTAGTTAGACAACCTAGTTCTTCTTCTTGTGCTAAGCGTAATCAAAGTACTTATACATTTATTCACTCGCTTAAGAGGAACATGTTGACTACAAGTCGTGTTCAACACTTGATTTACATCCACAATAATCTCCGATTTTTGTCAAGAAATCCGAATGATGATGTAAAGATGTGGGATGTGGGTGGAGATGCTTTTGATTCAATGGAAGATGTAGGATTTTTGGAGGTTGTCGATCTCTCACTAGATAAACCAGATTTTGAAAATGATTTGATAATTGATAATTAATTACCTTTGAAAAATTTAGTATCTGTGCATCATAAGTTGCTTCCCGTCCTTGTTAAATCCAACAAACTTCTTTTCACTGTGAGGGATGTAATCCCACCATCCAGTGCTCCCCATAACATTCCAATTATAGCATTCTACTTTCACTTTTGCTTAAAATAAACAAACCAATGAAAGTATGTTGCTATTGCTTGCATTTATATATAGGGCTGTAAACAAACCAAACGAACACGAACAAGGTCTTGTTCATGTTCGTTCGTTTAAGTTAGCCGAACAACAAACGCACAAGAACGGATAAACGAACAATATTTTCTTGTTCATGTTCGTTCTTTTAACAAATTACTTTGTTCATGTTCGTTCATTTATGTTCGTGAACATGCTAAACGAACAAAGATAAAAAAACACAATTGAACATATATGAACATAAACGAACATATAATATAGCAATATAATAAAAAAAAATAATTGAATATAGATGAATATAAATAAACTTAAACGAACGAACATAAACGAACGTAAATGAACATCATAAACGAACGTTCACGAACATAAATGAATGAACGAGACTATTGTTCATGTTCGTTCATTTAACTAAACGAACGATAATTTTTGTTCATGTTCGTTCATTTATTAAATAAACGAACATAAACGAACTTCCCGCCGAACAGTTCACGAACGGTTCGCCGAACGTTCAGTTCGTTTATAGCCCTATGTATATACCTTGAGGGCACCAAAAATAGATGATTTAGATGTGTATTTGCTAAAAAATAACTCCAACTTCAAAAACATGAAACCACTTTAATGCTTATATTGTTATTAGATAAATTATAAAAATTGGCCCTGTGGTTTTACGGTTATTGGATTGGTAGCCCATTTTTTTCCATCCATATGACCCATATGTTTGTATTTTGTTACTATTTCGGTCTCTGGTCCATGTACAATCAGAATTGTATACATCTAAAATAAGATATGGCCATGAAAAATCACTTCACCAAAAGGAAATTTATATCCATACCTACCAAAGAGACCATATTCTTCCATTTCTGTCGATATAAGCACCATATCAATATCTGGCTGCATTTGACAATACGCAACAAAACATAGTTAGAAACAAACACACACACATACTCTGGAAGAATTGTCTAAGATGCAACCTGCTACTAATGAAAAGCAAACAAATCAAAACTGAATGAAATAAAGGAGTACCCATCCACAATCTTTAATTACATAGTTGTCTTCATGTTAAAGGATTAACAATATCGATATAAGGGTAAAATGAACTGTGTGCGAGAGCTTAACAAATTCAATGCATAAAGATTAAATGCAATGTTGTTGAGCAAGAGCATACAATTCATTTACCCCTTACTATCTTGCATTGTTCATTATGTCATTGTACATTTTGACATCAAGATATAAGAAAATAACAGAAATTTGTGTTTATAAAACAAAATAGAGCTTGTTTGTTGATTGAAAAGATTAAACCGGTATAACTCTTATAAGAAATCTTATAATTAAGATTATGGAAAGATTAAATCAATATTAGAATGATGCGATCTAGCCCTGTGTAAGGGTGAAGTTGGAACCTTCTAAATAATGAAGTTGGAACCTTCTAAATAATTGTAGTTCCCCTAATAATTGAAGAGGACTTATGAATCTGAACGTAACATGGTTTAAACCAAAAAGACACTATTCTTCTTCTTATCTCGCATCAATTAATCCAAAAATTAAATTCAACCAAAGTTAATAACACGTCAAACTTAAATAGTTGAAAGCAAGTTTCAATTTGTTTAATCAGAAAATGACTTAATGTATAAGTAATAGAAGGAAATATCAAAACCGGGACACAAATGGAACATCATTCATAGTATAAAAGTTCACCGTATATGGCAGGAAAAGAAAGAGAAAGAGAGGTGTCGATGAGCAAAATCAACTAACACAGGATTAATTCTCGTCCATTGAACTGTTCCTCACAACAAATAGAGCATTTACATCCAACTCCAAAACCTAGAATTCGAGTTTGTGATCAAATCAATTGCTGATTTCAACAAATATCAACAAAAAACATAAAAAGAACATAGAACTGTTCTCCCAACTCTCGATTCAATGAAAAAAAACACGCGAATTTGAGGAGGTTAGTAGCACTTTGAATTTAGGACAAAACAGGAAAGGGCGATGGGTAAGGTAACATAAACCCTATAAAAGATCGGAAACACGAACCTGAAACAACAATGAACGACGGAAGCGGAAGCGATTGTATTAGGGCTTAAAAAAACTCTCGATCGAGACAGGGGTAGAAGAAAGTGGAATGCAGACACACGATTGAATCCAAATCTAGGATGAAAGCCACGTAAAACCACCAAACATATTGTCGATTCGTTCCTTCCATTATCGATGAGTTTAGGGATTTTTTTTTGGTAACGGTGGTTTTCCTGTTAACGATTGACAGGAAGGCATATCAGAAAAGGGTGGTTTTAGCGAATTTTGATCTGAAGAGTTCTTAGTTAAAACCAGAGATCAACATACAACACTATATACAACCCTATGCACACCCGAAATAAAACGAAAACGGAATATATCCGAACCGAACCGAACCGAACCGAACGGAATATGTTACAGATGGATTGGTTTTTTGGTTTTGTTTTTTACAATAATCGGGTTTCGGGTTTGGATCGGATCGGACCCGGAATAAGGTAGCTAACCCGGATCGGACCGGAAAACCAAAACTTGTTGATAAGTTATGGGATATCTCCATAAAAGTCCCGATATTTTGGATAAATTTTTAATAAAGACCTAAATTTTATTTTTTGAATAAAAAGGTCCTGATTTTTTCATCTTTTGAATACAAAAGCCCAAGAAACCAGCTAATTTATTCACTTTAGCTTTTTTAACCTGTTCAGCAGGTTATGGAACCAAATTGTTAATTTTTTGAAAACAAGGGGACTTTTTTGCAGATTTCGTCAAAAATTTTATATGATGCATAAACATATTTTTTTTTAAATATCTATATCAATTTTTACGTATTTGTGTATTTTTTATGTTTTTATATGTATACATTTACGTATTTTTATGTTTTTTAAATATATAAACGTATTTTTTACTTATTTTATATGTTGTTGGATATTATTCCTTTTATATATCAGCTCAGATACCGATTTGTTGGAAATATAACAATCTGATCACCACAACAAAAGGTTCGGTTACCAGTTACTGTGTGACAGATATATCAGTTTAAGATATAAGATATATATATATATATATATATATATATATATATATATATATATATATATATATATATATATATATATAAAGAATAAATGACTGTATTTAAATGACATAAAGTTATAAATAATATAAATGACTGTATTTAAATGACGTAAAGCTATAAATAATATAAATGACTGTATTTAAATGACGTAAAGCTATAAATAATATAAATGACTGTATTTAAATGACATAAAGCTATAAATAATATAAATGACTATATTTAAATGACATAAAGCTATAATAAAGTATATAAATATATATCAAGTAGGTTCGTCAATAAATTGACTGAACTGGACTCATGGAGCGACTGGTCGATATTTGTTCTTTGAATGGACTGGTCGATATTAGTTCTTTGAATGGACTGGTCGATATTGGGACTCTTGGAGCGACTGGTCGATATTTGTTCAAAGATCAATCCGGCATTGGATAAGTAACAAAAAGCTCATTTAAAGCTCGATTTTATGTAAAACAAGTGTTTACAAAAGGGTACAAAATACATGGGTTTATGTATTTGTATTTGAGGTATTTTTGGGTAAAAACATGCACACGGGTCGTGTAAGATAAGGCACAAGTGACACGGGTCGTGTAGGAGGGTTTTGGAGGGTTTTCTTGATGAATGATGCTGACACGGGGCGTGTTGATTTAGCCTTGCTGAACACGGGGCGTGTTCATGATGCTGATGCTGACACGGGGCGTGTTGATTTAGCCTTGCTGAACACGGGGTGTGTTGAGGTTCAGAAGTATGAATAAGGCAATCAGAGGGCAACACGGGGCATGTTGATTTTGCCTTGGTTTTTAACACGGGGCGTGTGTGTCAGAGTCAATTTCGGGATTTTTGTGATTTGAAGGTAAGTTTTGTTTGTGATGTTTTGGCTAGGGTAATGGTGTTATGGTGTTTTAAGGATGTTTTCAAGGTTGTTTAGAGGTTGGAAGGAGGTTGATATAAGGTGGTAAAGGTGGTGAAGTTTCTTATGAAGATGATGATGAATAGTGATGGGTTTTGTGGTTGATCTTGATGCAGAAGGTTTTGGGTTGTTTCATGGTTGTGTTTTGGTGTTTTGATGTAAGGAAAGTGTTTGGTGGTGTATGATGTGATGATCAAAGGTGGTGAAGATGAAAAACCTTTAGTTTCAATGAAGAAGATGAAGATGGTTGATGGTGTTCTTCATTTAGCTTCTTGTTTGATCTTGGTGTTCTTCACTTGGCTTCTTGTTTGATCTTGGTGTTCTTCATTTAGCTCCAGGGATTTGTCTTTGTTCTTGAGGAAGATGAAGATTTGTGATGTTCTTGGGAGTGTTTGTAGTTTGTAGAAGTGTTACAATATTACAAATGAACATACACACTCACACTACATACTCACGTATACATATATGAGAGAAACAAATATCTTCTTCACTTGAGTGTTTTTGAAAGGAATTGGCTGGTGTATGCAAGTTGTTTGTAGAGCTAGGAAGTACAAGTTGTGTGTCTTGACTTTTCCTTGTTGACTTTTCAACTTGTAGACTATTCAACACATATACATATATATAATACATATATATATATATATATATATATATATATATATAACACATACATATATATACATATATATATATATATATATATATATTGGTGAAACTTTTTAGTCACACAACTAATTTTCTCGTCTATGCGCGTGCTTTCGTATTTTCCGTTTTATCACACATTCATGCAACCTGAAATAACTGATAATATTTGTTAGATTGTATAAAAACAGTTCATCTTATTTCAGTTATGGTCACATACAAGGTTACATAAGAACATTTTTCAACAATTTCCCCCTATGTGATCATTGCTGAAATAAGGACAGGTATGATATAATCATATTGACAGTTTAACTTTTGAAGATTCGAGATAAAAGATTTGTCAATAGATAAGATATATATAAAACCATAGCAATTGATTTGAAAGTTTGTGACTTGGTTTAACATATCTTATGTAAAAGATTTTCAGAAATTTGTTTCCGAATCAAAGTCTCGGGTTCGGTTATCAAAGGGTAGCCATATATGTATCTAAAGAAATTTCTTAAGATTTTATAGCATTATTAATGACGACAAGTGGTTTAACAGGTCGATTCAGATGAACGCTCATAGGTATAGCTCACACTTCACTTGGGTGTTTGGTTGTTCTGGCAGCAGAACAAGTTAATGATCACTAAAAACGAGTGATATCTCTCTCTGACGACTCACACTCATATTGGAGGTGTTCAACTATGCTTTTCCCGAAAGGTCACTTAGTCTCATTATTAGATAATCAATCACATAAGACTGGTTTCGGCATTACTCAGCGGGTTTCTTCATTCATACCATTTAAGTTCACTCTCTCTCCGTCGGGAAATACATGTAGAGGGGTTTAGCAATTTTCATAGTGCAGTTTGCAACTAAGAATCTTCAGTGATGAAGGCTACAGTATCCCGGGAAATCCATTGTTGTTGCAGCTTTTTCTTTGATGGTATCCTTTTTGTTGATCAATATCTATTTTTTGTAAAAGGATATTTTGTTTTAGCATCGAGAATTTGCTACATTTGAGAAAATTGGGATTTTTGAGAGTATCTATCTTGCGGGATTAAGATATCCCTTTTTGTGAAAAATGGTTAAAAACAGATCACGAGATCTTTTGATGTTTGCTTTGAAATAACCATTTGGTTGAACTTTGTTTGAAAATACCAAATGTAGAGTTTTTTTTGTTTTGTTTGGTATTTCTTCGGTGAATGATTTGGCTTTCTTGTTGATTCTTCTTTATTTGTTTCGTCTTTTCTTGTTGATGGATCACGGGATCTCAAGACATCATTTTTGGTTGGCTTATATCTAGGTAGGGATTAGTGGCATAAAAGACAGTTTGTCTAGTATGTAAGAAATGAATGTATCGTCCCTGGTCATTTTGATATCTAAGCAAAAATGAGACCGTGACAAGGTATAATCGGATATACCTTATAAGCAATAGTGACACACCTAAGCTCACAAGAAATGAATTCCACAATGATTCAGATTGATGAGGCACAAATTCTCACATGGGTTTTTGTTTTCATCTGAACCTCCTAACCTTATGTCCCTTTTTAAAATCATCAATAATGAAATAAAATTGAAGGAAATAAAGTTATGTACATTATGAAAAGTAGGAGATTTGAACCTTCACTCCAATTGAGAATCAATATGACTTAAAATCTTCATCGAGCATAAGCATCTGAAAATTAAGTCAAAAGACGATTAATCACAAGGTTCTATAAAAGCTTATTACGGCAAGTCTTTTATTATATTTTTGAAGATTTGTTTTTCTGAATGTTTTTGGAAATATTGGTTATTTCAATGTTTTTGGTTTTTTTTGAAAAGAAAGCAGTTTTCAAATGTTTTTGAATTTTCTTTTTGAGTGAAAGTAAACACACTTTTGTACAAACAAAAAGTAAAAGTTTAAGGATGGATGTTATCTGGATTTAACATTCCTAGACGGCCTAGGAAGTATTGAAACTTCGTTTCATCGAGAGCCTTAGTGAAGACATCGGCAATTTGATCTTCGGAGTTGATGAAGTGTAGTTCGATATGACCCTTTTGAATGTTGTCTTTGATAAAGTGATATCGAATGTCGATGTGCTTTGTCATGGAATGGTGAACGGGATTGTGAGAAATGGCAATTGCACTGGTTGAGTCACAAAATATGGGAATTTGTGAGATTTTGAAGCCATAGTCACGCAGTTGAGTTTGCATCCATATGACTTGTGAACAACAACTGGCGGCGCGACGTATTCAGCTTCTGCTGTTGATGTGGACACACAGTCTGTTTCTTTGAAGTCCAACTCACTAGTCTACCTCCTAGGAATTGACAGCTACCAGATGTACTCTTCCTATCTAGCTTGCATCCTCCGTAGTCTGAGTCGGTGAAAGCGTTCAGCTGAAAATCGGATTTAGCTGGATACCAAAGGCCAAGTTTGGGAGTGCCTTTAAGGTATTTGAAGATGCGTTTCACAGCAACTACATGGGATTCCATAGGATTTGCTTGGTATCTAGCACAAACACATGTAGAAAACATGATGTCAGGTCTGCTGGCAATGAGGTACAAGAGTGATCCGATCATTCCACGATATCTTTTCTGGTCAACGGGTTTGCCATTTAAGTCTGCATCAATTTTGTATCCAAAAGCCATTGGGGTTTTTGCGGTATTGGATTTTTCCATTGAAAAACGAGTGAGTAGGTTTTTGACATAATTCTCTTGGTTGATGAAAATGCCATCAGTTGACTGTTTATTTGAAGTCCGAGAAAAGTAGTCATCTCCCCAATCATGCTCATTTCAAATTTGCTCTTCATTAGATCTGCAAACTTAACACTTAAAGATTCATCAGTAGAACCGAAAATAATGTCATCAACATATATTTGTACGATTAACAGATGTTTATTAAAGATTTTACGAAAGAGGGTTTGATCAATTGAACCTCTTTTAAAACCTGATTCTTCGAGAAAGGTTGACAATGTGGCATACCAAGCTCGAGGTGCTTGTTTCAAGCCGTAGACAGCTTTCTGCAATTTAAAGCTGTGATCTGGAAATTTGGGATCTTCGAAACCTGGTGGTTGTTGGATGTATACTTCGCGATCTATCTCTCCATGTAGGAATGCACATTTAACATCCATTTGGAATACTTTGAAATTCTTATGTGCAGCATATGCAAGAAAGATGCGAATTGCTTCAATTCGGGCAACTGGAGCATATGTTTCATCGTAGTCGATTCCCTCTTGTTGTGAATATCCTTTGACTACAAGACGTGCCTTGTTTCGACAAATGATTCCTTGATCGTCAGTCTTGTTTCTGTATACCCATCTTGAACCTATAACAGTAACATCGGGTGGAGTAGGAACAAGATTCCATACGTCGTTTCTTTCAAATTCTGCTAGCTCTTCTTGCATAGCTTTTACCCAATCTGGATCTTTTATAGCAGAATGTATGGTTTTGGGTTCAGTCGTGGATAAGAAGGCTCCAAATAAACATTCATTTGTGGATGCGCCTCTAGTCTGAATGCCTAAGTTGGGATCTCCGATGATTTGGTCTGTTGGATGATTTCTGGTCCACTTTATTAAGCGATTCTCTTCCGCTATAATAATTGGAGTTTCAGTATCCCATTGTTCTTCTCCGGGTGTTTCATCTTGGAATAGGTTTGAAGGTTCCCCCATAAATGATGCATCGGGATTGTTTTGGCTATTTGGGGATGGGGTGTTTAAAGGAGGATTTGGTGTTTGTTCCAAAGAGGAAGTATGTGTTGGTGGTTCCCCTCGAATTGATTTGCATCATTTTGGTTTGTTTGTGGAATTACTTCACTGGGTGTTCCTGTAGGGTCAATTAAAGTAGTTAGAAGTTCAGAATTGTAAGCGGTTTTTGGTTGTTCAAAAAGCAAATCAAGATCGATTTCAATGTCTATGTCAGGAGAAGGTGTTTGTTGAATTGGATTTTGAAAAATATTTTCAATCATTTTTGAACCAAAATGTTCACGATCCAATTTCCTAACATAAAATTCATCGAAATGAACATCGGTACTTTCTTCAATTACTCTAGTACGTTTATTCAGTACTCGATAAGCAGCTGAAGAAAAAGAGTAACCAAGGAAAATTCCTTCGTCCGACCTTGATTCAAATTTTGAAAGGTGATCTTTATTATTCTTTACGAAGCATCGACAACCGAAAATATGGAAAAATTTGATGTTTGGTTTTCGGTTGTTAATGACTTCATATGGTGTGTTATGAAGATGTTTATGGATTAAGGAACGATTTTGAGTATAGCAAGTTGTGGCTATTGCTTCTGCCCAGAAGTATTGTGGCAGATCAGCGAAGATAAGCATTGATCTTGCAGCTTCACATAGAGTTCGGTTCCTTCTTTCGACAACACCGTTCTGTTGTGGAGTGTATGGGGCTGAGAAGTTGTGTTCAATTCCTTTGTCTTTGAGAAATGAATCTAGAGTATTGTTTTTGAACTCGAAACCATTATCACTTCGGATTCTTCGAACAGGTCGTTTCTGTTGGATAAGGTGTCTAAGTCCATAACTTATTTGGTATATACTTGACCCGACCGGCATGGTCCATTTGGGTTGCATCTCATCCAAACTATTATGGATAATTTTATGAGAGTTATACACATATGTTTATTAATATATTATGAGTTATAATATATTAATATGAAGTTACGTTATTTAATTAGTTTGTCTTAAATTAATTATGAATTAATTTAGAGATTAAAAGGAAGACTAATTAGATTATGGGCTATTTGTTTTATATAGTGTGGGCTAATACTCATTTGTTAATGGGCTAGGCTTATGTGGAAGTCCATGGATGATCCATGGAGCTTTTAACCCATGGATCCTTGGAAAGGAAAAGACATGGGTTATTAGGGTTTCACCCTAACCATGCACACTATATAAGCATGCTTATGGAGCATGAAATGGAGCCTAAGAGAAAACTAGTGAACTAGTGTGTGTGTGTGTGTGTGATGTGTGTGGCCGATTTTATACAAGGTGTATACTCTCTCAAAGTTTTCCAAGAGTTTGTGGTGTTTGTGATTCCATTTGAGGCATTCACACTATTGGTGCTTGGCCCTCAAACTCCTTAGAACCAAACTCACCAAAAGGTATGTAATCTCTTCTAACTCTTTTATGTTGAAATGTTCCCCATGCCATGTTAGATAGGTTATAAACCTTGGAAAATTATTATTTTGCATGTATTTAGACAAACATAGATCCAAGGTTTATTAGGGTTGCATGCACACTTAGGAAGTGTTAGATTGCTCAAAACCCAACAGTGGTATCAGAGCCTAGGCTTGCTTGTTTGATACTTGATGCAAAATAGTGAAAAAAGTCGAAATCGTTGTTGTCTGCATGGTGGACTCGCCGAGTCCATTGGGGGGACTCGACGAGTCCAAGGCAAACTTCAACCTACTCGACGAGTCAGTTCATGCACTCGACGAGTAGGATCGAAAGAGTGCAGATTCTCGACTTTTGCTGCTGGAAATGGACTAGAAACATTACCCTAAATTGTTTTGGTGTTATAAAACTTATTTTAGTTGGTGTAATGGTTGTTCTAATCCATTTACAATAGCATATATCAAAATTCCATGATTTTATGTGTTCATATAATTCTTGAATTTTTGATGATCATGTTCATGTTCTTATGAATTTAGAAAATGATAGGAATTATTTGCTGAATTGTTTAGGATTAATTCTTTATCATTTATGTGTTTTAATGGAGTCCATAATTTGTCCTCAAGTTATGGATTACCAAAGGTCACTTTCATTTAACACACACTTAAAACACATAAGTTACATGAAAATGAAGAGTCTTCATTTTTATGAACCTTTAATTCATAAGTTATGAAATGAAGAGTTTTGCAAAGTTACAAAACTTGCCCTCAAGTTTTGGAATTTGTAAAGTTTCACACACTTTAATAAACTTTAATTCCAAACCTTAGAGTTTTAATAGTTAAAATTCAACCCTTATACTATTTATAACATTAATGGTTAATTATTATATATATATGTATAAGAATAAGTCGTTTTACCGTTAGTAGGCCTCATTCACGAAGCCGGTCTATAAGGTGGGTATAAGGTTGTTGCCTATAAAATGGCGACTTAATGGGTGTATACTCTCACCCACCGCTTGCTTGATCGGTGGAGGGTCGTTAGCCGAACGGGTAGAACAATGACTTTAAATCCTCATTAAAAGTATAATGAATATTATAAAATAACTAAACTCTTTTAATTCCCAATCTTAGTTATTTTAGGAAAATGTGAACATGGTGCTAGTCCATGGAATTCACACTTTGTACCTTACCAAGTCGTTGGTGGAGCGTGTGTGGTTAACCGACACTAACTAGGACTAGTAAGGATCACGAAGGGTGACTTAATGTTTGTCATAGATCAATGGAGCGTGTGTGGTTAACCGGCACATTGATTAGGTGATAATATTAAGGTACCAAGTGAATTAGCATGGTTATTCACACCTTGTTTTGTGATCCTCGGCATCCCAGTCACAAAACTTGAAGGGCACAATCGAGATTGAAACATGCCATTGAAAAGTTCAATGAATCTCAAAAGAATCTAGGAATTTCAAATCCAATTAAACCTAATAAATCATTTCGTTTTCATGGTGGAAATTGGTGAATCGTCATTCACCTACCTTTCAAATATATTATTACTTAGATTACGGCATCCCTCTTCTAAGTGTAATATATTGTGATTGGATCCTAGCCTTAATATTACATTTGGGTGTCTTATTAAGGATCCTAATATCTAATCTAAACTTACTCTCTTTTTCAGATGTCTTCCAACACTAATGCTTCAGGCTCTAACCCAACTGGTTCTTTCTCTCTCATGAATCTTTGTGGGAGGGTCATCTTTGATGGTTCCAACTTCATGGATTGGATTAGGAACATCAGGATGGTTACTCGTTACGAGGACAAGGAATATGTCCTCGATAAGGAGTTAAAAGAACTTGATGAGTCTACTGCTACTCCTGAGGAGATCGCTGAATTCAGGACTCATGAGAGAGATGCTACTAAGGTGGCATGTATCATGATGGCCACGATGACAGCCGAGCTCCAAAAGTCATATGAAGATTTCTACCCTTTTGAGATGCACCAAGACCTGATGGAAAGGTACCATCAGAGTGCTCGTCAGGAGCGGTATGAAATAATCTCCTCCATAATAACTACCCGCATGAAGGACGGTGAATCCGTCACGGGCCACATGCAAAAGATGCAAAGGTATGTGGACCGTTTGCTGAAGCTGAATGTTAACATCCCCGAGGAGTTGGCAATTGACATCATTTTGCACTCCTTGCCTTCTTGTTATGATCATTTTCGAATGACATATCATATGAACAAGGAGGAAGTTACCCTCAGCAAGCTTCAAGGACTCTTGAAGACCGCTGAAACCGGTCTTAAGGGTAAAGCGGTTGTTACCTCTACTACTCCTACTCCAACATCTACCCCTGTTTTAGCTATTGGGCAAGGCAAAGGGAAGAAGAGGAAGCACCCTTCGAAGGGTACCAAGGGAAAGTCTCTTGAAGGCTCCTCATCAAAGACCAAGAACGGTTCTGCACTCCTTCTGCCATTCCCAAGGATGCTGAATGCTTTTATTGCCATGAAAAGGCACACTGGAAGCGAAACTGCCCTAAGTACTTGCAGGATCTAAAGGATGGGAAAGTGAAACCCACCCATGCAGGTATTTACACTATATTGTCTAATTACTCAACATATTCTAACTCTTGGGTGCTTGATACAGGATGTGGTATTCACATATGTTCTGATTTGCAGGGCCTAAGAAGAAGTGAGGATGTGGAGCACGGGAAGATAAACTTAATCATGGGAATAGGAAGGCTTCACCTGTTTCCAAGATTGGAGTTTATACTTTGTTGCTTAATAATGGGTTAAAATTAGATTTGAATAAATGTGTGTACTCGTCTGAAATGGCGAGGAATATTATTTCTTTTCATGCTTTGTACAAACAAGGTTTTACCTTTTCGTTTGATAATGAATGTGGTGGTATTAATGCTTTCTTTAATAATGTGTTTTATTTTAAAGCATTACCTTGTGATGGTGTGTATGAAACTGTGTCGATTGTAGACAACTTAGGAAATAATGTGTTGTATATTGATTCTTCTACTAGCCTAGATAAAGCATCATTGTGGCATTGTCGTCTTGGACATGTAAACAAGAAACGCATAGGCCAACTCCAAAAGAGTGGAGTCTTGGAATCATTTGACCTTAAATCGGATGATAGTTGTGAATCTTGTCTACTTGGAAAATGACAAAATCACCCTTCACTGGAACTTGTGAGAGGGGTGAGGGTTTGTTGGACCTAATACATACTGATGTATGTGGGCCATTCAACCGCCACAAAGGGATGCTAATCGCCACAAGGGATGCTAATCGGTATTATGTGACTTTTATTGATGATTTTAGTAGATATGGGTATGTCTACTTAATCAAACATAAGTCCGAAACCTTTGAAAGGTTTAAGGAATTCAAACAGGAAGTAGAAAATCAATTGGGCAGGAACATTAAGATGCTTCGATCCGATCGAGGTGGTGAGTATCTTAGTAACCCTACGCAGTTCCTTGATATCTAAGAATTGTTAGGATGTGTGTCGAGATTCATCTCACAATTGACTCCTCCCCAGTCGCACCCAGCTGAATGTGTGTGGCTGAGAGGCGTAATCGAACTTTGTTGGACATGGTTCGCTCTATATTGATGAGTCGAGTTTCGTTACCATCTCTTTTTGGGGGTATGCCTTAGAGACTGCCGCCCATATCCTTAATCTAGTCCCTACAAAGAAGGTTACCAAAACACCTCATGAGATGTGGACTGGGAAGGTTCCCAATTTGGACCACATCAAAATTTGGGTTGTGAAGCTTTCGTGAGGCGTGAAACTCATGATAAGCTTGAACCCCGAAGTGAAAGGTGTATTTTCATCGGCTACCCACA